TGTCATTTTGTCACGTAAAAAAATCTAGGGATCGGAAATTGTTTGACCGACAGGTGCCGTCATACTATTATATTGAATTATCATAAACTATTGTATTTCCATTTGGTGTTTGCCAGAAAGGAAACATAAAATCTAACGTTGTAGCAGGATTTCCTTGGTAGTTGGTGCAGTATACCTAGATTTACCAGATTTTAGTAAGACCTATACACACTCAGGTTTTCAGATAGTAAAACTGGGGCTCCCCCATTTCTGAGAGAGGGAGGGGCTTATTTGCCCAATAAATTATACAAATAATAAATATCATCAAGATAAAAGGGTATTTTTATTTACTTTATTGCTGCTATAGATACCTCTGACGGATGAAAAATTTCGAGCAACTTTTTGTTGGCCAGATGATTGTCGTATAATTATAACCGACTGTCATTCACATTTACCCTTATTATACTTTGAATAGGTGCTTCAGTACTTGCAAATAGAACATGGGCTGTGAACAGCATCTGTCATTCAACGATCTCTCTTTGTTTTGGCGCGTACCCAGGTGGTACAGCAGAAAGTTTATGACTTACAAAGCTAAAATCCGGGATTCGATTCTCCGCGGTGGACATAGAGATAGCCCAGTGTGGCTTTGCTCTAAAACGAACTTAGTGCGTGAACATTCACGTGCTCAGTGACGTATGCACTAATGACATCATGTCGTCCTTTGCAGCCTGCCTTATAGCTAACTTCAGAAAAATCAGCAAACTTCCCTCTAGTCTTACACTGGTAAATTAGGTACGGCTAGCGCAGATAGCCCTCGTGTAGCTTTGCGCAAAATCCATAACAAACAAATAAACAGTAACCTGTACAGTTTACACACAGCTCAATGGTAATAAAAAACATTTTTTTTTCTTCAGTTCATTCTGTTGTAAAAGTGCACGCGTGTATTAAATGGTACGTATCTTAGGCCTCACCAGTTGTTAAGCCTAATTAATATTCGTGCCCAGCTCGATATTATTAAACTTTTTAATCTGTGACGCTATGTGGTAAACTAAATTCTCAAACTATCGCGGATGCGAAAATTTACTGATTACTCTTTACACTAAAACGTCCCCCAGTGGCATAGCGGTATGTCTGCGGACTTACAACGCTAGAATCCGGGTTTCGATACCCATGGTGGGCAGAACACAGATAGCCCATTGTATAGCTTTGTGCTTAATTACAAACAAACAAACTTTACACTAAAAAATCAAACAATAAATATAGATTATTTGGGCACAATTTTGCGATGATTACACCTAATTAACAATTTTGGTTGAAGAACATAAAATCTGGTAAATGATACAATTATCATACAGTATCGATCGTGCAAACAAAAAAGTTAACAAATCCACACGTTATTAAATATACCAACGGCTTTACATTCAATTTAGTTTACCACATAGCGTCATAGATTAAAAAGCTTTATTATATTGAGCAGGTCACGAATATTAGGCTTAACAACTGGCGAGGCCTTAGATATGTACCATTTGATGTACATGTTATTAAATATACCAACGGCTTTACATTCTATTTATGGCGATTTCAATAAACGGTATTATTTGTTTTTGTTCATAAGACTGAACAGTTTGAGCAACAGTAAGCCTTATTTTCACACAAGTTAAAGCCAAAGGGCAGCCAAGATTATATAGCTAAGTGAACTTATAATGTCAGTTTTTTGTAGATTAAAACGTGGACAACGAAGACGGAGCTCTCTTAAACAAAAGCAGCTCAGCGCTAAGTACGCTTTACCAATCTTACTAGTGACTTCAAACAATGATTTTTTTTGTCATACGTGCTCTACCATCGAGTTCTTCCAATCATTACCAGACTCACTAGTTACTTCAACCAATATTTTCTGTCGTAAGTGCTCTACTATCGAGTTCTTCCAATCATTACCAGACTTACTAGTTACTTCAACCAATATTTTCTGTCGTAAGTGCTCTACCATCCAAAATTTATTGTTCTTCTATAGTATTAGCTTTATTAGAAAAACGTTTTTAAATTAAGTTTGTGTATTATAATAAGGGAACTTCAAATGTTCTCACGTCTGTAAATTAAAATGATTCGTTGCACAAACTAGTGCTACAAAAGTTTTATAGACACCTTGACCTTATCGAGAAGGAGTAGATGTCCAAACAAAATAAACGTTTGTCTCCCTCCCACCTGACGAAGAGTTCATAAAAGGATTTTAACACTTGGGTTCAATAAATGAGTCGTGGAGATAACCTCCAACTTTATTTTGTAAAGTTTTTCCCACAGATAATAAAAAGTGTTTGTTATTTATATTTTCATGAAATATCGATGAGGTTGCATAAACAGTATGTTTAAAGTTGGATAGCTAGCTTAACGTGATGGAACTGTGCGAGATTATTGACTATCTCTTCTGCAGTTGATCGTTGTTGCTTAGCAACGTATGCTTTAAGCGTTATCCTGTGGGTGTATATTCAATAGATTTATGCTTGAGGACTCTTAACCTGTTTTTATTGTTCCTCCATTTTACATTTTATTACTCGAAAATATCCGAAGTATGCGTAAAAATCACAGAAATTTGTATAGTTTTTATATACCCAATTATATAATTTTTCATGTAAATCCCTTTGCATGTGGTTTCGATTGTAACAAGATGACGTAGCACAAGTATCAAACGCTGTTCAGAATACACGTAAACTTCAAATGCATATTTTTATTGAAATTCAAAGACAATAATGAGGTCCTTCAAAACAGTGATACCACTTCTCTGACTTGCAGTTAATCACGTATAGATTATTTATAGACAAATTTGGAAGTTATGGACGTCTTCATAAGTTTCCATTTTGATTTGATTTAAAAAGCAAGTATTTAGACACATATTAAACATTTAAGATTGCGATTGTTATAATAAACTCCATGTCGAAAGTTTCGAGAGTCAACATGTTATTTCCTCGAAAGGGAACCAAAAGCCGCCTGGAAGGGTCACCTGTTTTAAACTACTCGCACAACTATAAAGTCGTGTGTTGTGTGTCAGTTAGTCAGTAGACACTAAAATGACGTCACATACGGGACGCTTAACGTTGCAATTTGTACTGTCGTGAAGTCAGTAAAACGTGCGCATGCCATGAATCACGAGAAGGATTATGCACTCTGTAGACTACAACACAGCATGACATATGAACTTCAAAAGCAAGAAATCAAAATATTTGTTATTCTTAATTTTGATTTTATTTCCTCTTGAAACAGAACACTTTCAGGAACCCTGCGGAAGTTCATTTAGTCATCATTGAATAAATGGACACTGTGTCAATCAGCATCACTTTTAAGCGAAATGTTGAAAAACTTTAGTATCAATTTTCATAGTTGAAGTGGCTCATTTGTGAGGTTTGAACGGATCGGTATTTGGTTTCTTTATTTTGTCTTGCGAAGAAAGAATAACGGTGAGACATAGAATCAGTGATAAAAGCCATATCCGATGTTCGTGAGTATATTTGTCTTTTCACAGACACAAAGCAGATGTTATCGGCACGTTAATGGATTTTCAGTTCGCCCTATCCGGTTGTTCCCATAACGATCGGCTAATTCACTCAGTAAGCAGTGTTTTACCTTTAAGGCAGAGAAGGAATAAAACTTTTGGTACTTACGTCACTAGCTAATTAGGCATTGTGCAGCAGAATATACGTTAATCTGTCGTGGTTTCAGGGCTGAATAAATGGTTTCATTTCCCATTGAAAATGTTCCAACAACTTTGAGGAATTGCTTAGTACATTCCTTCAAGTAATACAAAATTCACTGATTTTATAAAGAATTAAATATATTTAGAATTGCAAATGAAACTGCTTCAAACACGTTCATTAACCCTCAAGTAATAAAAAAAAATATGTTTTCATAAAGAATTAAATATATTTGGAATTGCAAATGAAACTGCTTCAAACACGTTCATTAACCCTCAAGTAATGAAAAAAAATATGTTTTCATAAAGAATTAAATATATTTGGAATTGCAAATGAAACTGCTTCAAACACGTTCATCAACCCTCAAGTAATAAAAAAAAATATGTTTTCATAAAGAATTAAATATATTTGGAATTGCAGGTGAAA